GAAACCGAAACACGTGTAGCAAAATTATGGAAAATAAAGCATAATATTTTAAAATCCACATTACAACCAAAAACGTTTGCGGTTTCTCTCTTATTTTTAATATACACACTTTTCTTCCTTTTATATATATATATATATATATATAAACAAATCGGTAATTTATTTGAGAGTTAAAAATATGTGGTGGGTGGGAACCAAACACCTAAAATAAAAAAAACACACACACATTTGTGGACAAGTTTTGATTAACAAATCAAAAGACAGATCAAAGCTAAAATAAAAAAAATGGAAAATAATGTCAGGTGTGTGTAGGTGGGTTATTTCCTCAAGTCTAGATGAAATGACACTTTAGGCATGTCTACCACAGGTATACTTTTGCAAAACTAACGCTAAGATACAGCGAAGTAGACATAGAACTATATTTTACAAACAGTTATTTATAAGGAGTTACAAGTATTTTATAATTTTTTTATACTTAGGAACTTTCTTAAAGCAACCTCTAATTTAATTAAAGCATTTTTATATATATTGAAACCAATAAAAAAAACGATACATATATTTCGCTCTACTTTGTATTGACCAATTTTTAAAAAGTAAATGCTAAGAACAGTGAAGTGTTAATCTGTCTGTTCTTTCTCTTTACTTGTATATATATATATATATATATATATATATATATATATATATATATATATATATATATATATATATATATACAGTGTATCACAAAAAGTGAGTACACCCCCTCACATTTCTTCAAATATTTAAGTATATCTCTTCATGGGACAGCACTGAAAAAATTACCTTTTGACACAATGAAAAGTAGTCTGTCTGCAGCATATATAACAGAGTTAATTTCTTTTCCCCTCAAAATAACTCAAAATATAGCCATTAAAAGCTAAATCCCTGGCAACAAAGTTAGTACACCCCTAAGAAAAGTACAACCCTAAAAAGTGAGTACACCCTAAGAAACTACACCCCTAAATGTCTAAATTGAGTACTGCTTTTCATTTTCCCTCCAAATGTCATGTGACTCATTAGTGTAACTATGCCCATGTTTTCATAGGGAGCAGGTATATTCAAATTTGTAGTGCAGCTCTAACACTCTCTCTCACCGGTCACTGAAAGTTCTAACATGGCACCACATGGCTGGGAACTCTCTGAGGATCTTAAAAAACGTATTGTTGCACTACATAAAGATGGCCAAGGCTACAAGAAGATTGCCAACACCCTGAAACTGAGCTGCAGCACAGTGGCTAAGGTCATCCAGCATTTTAAAAGAGCAAGGTTCACTCAGAACAGGCCTCGGGTAGGTCGTCCAAAGAAGCTGAGCGTCACATCCAAATGCTTTCTTTGAAAGATCGGCGTAGGAGTACTGTTAGCATTGCTGCAGAGATTAAAGAGATTGGGATTCAGCCTGTTAGTGTTCAGACCATACGCCGCACACTACATCAAATTGGTGTGCATGGCTGTCACCCCAGGAGAAGCCTCTTCTGAAGGCAATACACAAGAAAGCCTCAGCAAACAGTTTGCTGAAGACATACAACAAAGCCCATAGATTACTGGTCCTATGGTCTGATGAGATGAAATTTAATTTGTTTGGTTTTGATGGCCTTAAGCATGTGTGGCGCGTCCAGGTGAGGAGGATACAGTCAAGCATGGTGGTGGAAATGTCATGGTCTGGGGCTGCATGAGTGCTGCAAAGGTATTGGAGAGTTACATTTCATTGAGGGAAACATGAACTCCAACATGTACTGTGAAATACTGCAGCAGGGCATGATCCCTCCCTCCAGAAAACTGGATGATCGCAGAGCAGTGTTCAAGCATGACAATGACCCCAAACACACATCCAAGACAAACCACTGCTTTTACTGAAGAGGCTGAGGGTAAAGGTGATGGGCTTTTAAAGCATGTCTTCAGACTTGAACCCAATAGAACATCTTTTGGGCCATCCTCAAGCAGAAGATGGAGGTGCGCAGAAATTCAAATATCCGCCAGCTCCGACGTCGTCATTGAGGAGTGGAAGAGCATTCCAGTGACTACCTGTGAAGCTCTGGTAAACTCCATGCCCAGGAGAATAAAGGCAGTTTTGGATAATGATGGTGGCCACACAAAATATTGACAGTTGACATGTTGTATGTTAATATTGACAACTTTTCCTAAGGGTGTACTCACTTTTCTGCCAGGGATTTAGATTTTAATGGCTATATTTTGAGGGAAAAAATAAATTAACTCTGTTATATATGCTGCAGACAGGCTACTTTTCATTGTGTCAAAGTGTCATTTTGTCAGTGTTGCCCCATGAAGAGATATACTTAAATATTTGAAGAAATGTGAGGGGTGTACTCACTTTTGTGATACACTGTATATGAATATGTTTAATTTAAGTATTGAATGCTTTCTTGGAAAAAAAACACCATAAAACATTGCGCACAAATGTCAGATGTTTACTTGATTTCAAGACATTGACCATTTCAAGCATTGACCATTTCAAGCATTGACCATTTCAAGCATTGACCATTTCAAGCATTGACCATTTCAAGCATTGACCATTTCAAGCATTGACCATTTCAAGACATTGACCATTTCAAGCATTGACCATTTCAAGCATTGACCATTTCAAGCATTGACCATTTCAAGCATTTCTACCATTTCAAGACATTGACCATTTCAAGCATATTGACCATTTCAATGCATTGACCATTTCAAGACATTGACCATTTCAAGCATTGACCATTTCAAGACATTGACCATTTTCCATTCAAAGACATTGACCATTTCAAGCATTGACCATTTCAAAGACATTGACCATTTCAAGCATTGACCATTTCAAGCATTGACCATTTCAAGCATTGACCATTTCAAGCGTGAGCAAGACATTGACCATTTCAAGCATTGACCATTTCAAGCATTGACCATTTCAAGACATTGACCATTTCAAGCATTGACCATTTCAAGACATTGACCATTTCAAGCATTGACCATTTCAAGCATTGACCATTTCAAGACATTGACCATTTCAAGCATTGACCATTTCAAGCATTGACCATTTCAAGCATTGACCATTTAAGATTTCAAGCATTGACCATTTCAAAGCATTGACCATTTCAAGCATTTTGGCCGTGACCATTTCAAGCATTGGACCATTTCAAGTTATGCAATTCAAAATAACCATTTACTTGATTTCAAGCATTGACCATTTCAAGCATTGACCATTTCAAGTATTGACTATTTCAAGCATTGACATATTTTTCAAGCATGACCATTTACTTGATTTCAAGCATTGAAAATTTCAAGCATTGACCATTTTTCAAGCATTGACCATTTCAAGCATTGACCATTTCAAGCATTGACCATTTCAAACAAAACCATTTCAAGATTGACCATTTCAAAGCATTGACCATTTCAAGCATTGATGTATGACCATTTCAAGCATGACCACCATTTATTTGATTTCAAGCATTGACCATTTCAAGCATTGACCATTTCAAGCATTGACCATTTCAAGCATGACCATTTACTTGATTTCAAGCATTGACCATTTCAAGCATTGACCATTTCAAGCATTGACCATTTCAAGCATTGACCATTTCAAGCATTGACCATTTCAAGCATTGACCATTTCAAGCATTGACCATTTCAAGCATTGACCATTTCAAGCATTGACCATTTCAAAGCATTGACCATTTCAAATTTTTGACCATTTCAAGCATTGACCATTTCAAGCAAATTTCAAGCATTGACCATTTCAAGCATTGACCATTTCAAGCATGACCATTTTCAAGCACCATTTCAAGACCATTTCAAGCAGCAATTTCAAGCATTGACCATTTCAAGCATTGACCATTTTTCAAGCATTGACTATTTTCACTTGATTTCAAGCATTGACCATTTCAAGCATTGACCATTTCAAGCATTGACCATTTCAAGCATTGACCATTTCAAGCATTGACCATTTCAAGCATTGACCATTTCAAGCATTGACCATTTCAAGCATTGACCATTTCAAGCATTGACCATTTCAAGCATTGACCATTTACTTGATTTCAAGCATTGACCATTTCAAGCATTGACCATTTCAAGCATTGACCATTTCAAGCATTGACCATTTACTTGATTTCAAGCATTGACCATTTTCTTAAATTGGACATTTTTCGGCTCTTTCAATGAAGAAAGTGTCTGAAACTTGGAGAGATTATTATAATGATAGACAAGTGTACAACATGAATAACCACTACACTGATAAAATCAACCAAGACTTCCAGCACCAACACTGGTGGTCGCTGAAGTGACCGCTTCAATCCAGACCTAACTATATGCCACGTTGTGATTTTTTCGAGGCAGCCAAGATGGAAGTGTCGCAGGCATCTTTGCGTTGGGTTTGTCCAAGCAGGGCGAAGACGTACAGGGGAAAATAACACTCGAAGCTTGCAGTTAAACATTTATATACAGATTTCATTAAAGACGACTGGCAGTGTATTGTGATTGTGCTTTTTATTCAGTTTTTCTTGCATACGTACAAGTGTTTTCTTTTCTGAACATAAATTGTGTAAAAACTGAATAAAAATGTTCGATAAATTTCAGCAATCCCGTTAACCATTATCAAGGATGTTTATTTATGTTGATATTTAACTGAATATGTGGATCATTTCTATACATATATCGCTATCGTGATCGGAATGTTGTTTTCTTTTATTTGTAAAAAAACAGGATCAGCACGTTATGGCCGTGTTGGTATTTTGAGTCGGTGTGTGTGGGGGGGGGCATTGAAATTAACTTTCAAACAATTATGAGTTCGCGTATTTAATCCCTTTGGTTTTGAACAAGATTTGAGAAGTGTTTTTTCTTTTATTTAATAATAAACCACAGACATCCAGAAGGTCAAAAGTCATTACATTCTCCTTAATTGATTGCTACTTTAGCTTGCTTAAGAATTGATCGTTGCGATGTTTCTTGATATGGGATGTTTTATGCTTTGACGCACACTGCTATAGCGTCTATCAAGTAACGTTTTGTATTATGCGACCAAGAGGCGAGAGAGTTGAGGAATTACGACGCAAGCTTATGTCGCAATCGTACGACGAAGAGTAATCGGGTAAAGAATGTGCCGGTATAGCACACTGGTGAAAAGAAAGGATTAATGACTATAAGGTCTTACATTCCCTTTCCGGCAATCGTTAAAATATACGCATTTTCATAGAATTAAGACTTTTATTTTAACCCCACCTCATGGTTTGAACAATTTTTTAAAAAATTACTATCACAATGATGTACAGGGTTACAGAAAAAATTCTTTATAAGTATTTTGTTCAACTGAGAGTGATTTACATCGACTAACAAAGAGAAATTTGAAAATGAATAATATATATATATATATATATATATATATATATATATATAGACAGAGAGAGAGGGGGTAAGAGAGAGGGAGACGGAGGGAGAGATAGTGAGAAAGAGAGTGAAGTAGAATGTGGGAAATAGAGAGGGTAACAGGAAAAGATAAAGAAAGCGAGAGAGAGAAGAGTGAGAATCCAAAAGAGAGGACCGAGCATTTGATGACTGAGTAGAAAAAAGAAAGAAATTTACATAACGGAAAGAAAGAAAGAAAGAAAGAAAGAAAGAAAGAAAGAAAGAAAGAAAGAAAGAAAGAAAGAAATATAATGGAGGAAAGAAAAAAGAAGTATTTATAACAGAGAGGAAAAAGAAAAGATCAAAGAAAGAAAGAAAGAAAGAAAGAAAGAAAGAAAGAAAGAAAGAAAGAAAGAAAGAAAGAAAGAAAGAAAGAAATATGTATAATGGAAGGGAAAAGAAATATACATAAGGAAAAGAAAAGAAGTATTTATAACAGATAGGAAAACGAAAAGATGTAAACAGAAAGAAAGAAAGAAAGAAAGAAAGAAAGAAAGAAAGAAAGAAAGAAAGAAAGAAGGGAATATGCCTAAGCAAAAGGAATGAATAAAAGAAAGCTACATCCCAAATAAAAATGTAAAATAGATAAGAAAAAGAAAAAGAAAGAAATTGCCACATAGGAAAGAAAGACACATAATAAAACTACATAAAAAACGAGCTCGTTAACCACAGTAGGTTCCCGTTGTTGCCTGGTGTGAAGCCATAACAGGAAAATCGAACTCCCTAAATGATTTTTAAGATTAGTTTGCCAATAGTTGCTTTACAATTTTCGGTTAAATATCTAACCTACGGCAGTAGCCATGTTTAGGGAAGGGCTACCCTGAATTGAAGACCGTTAAAACAAATCCTCTGTGATTCTAAAGGGGCCATGGTAATGAACAGATGATAAAGGAAAAGGGAAGCTATGGAGATCCATGATTCCCTATGTCCTAAAGAGAAATGTTTACAAAAACATAATGAGGTGTTGAGCGGGGATTAAAACGTGAATTAAGACGTGATTGTGGCAAATAAGAAATAGGGTCTTCGTAGGATTTTTATAAAGCAGAAACGGGGCCGGCGCTAGGGGATTGCCCTCCATCCACTGGGAGCCACAAGCCCTCGAAGAAAAATTGGTGTGGAGGAGGGAGGGCAGCGCTTTTTTTTTTTAAATTACCTAAAATCAGAATTATTCAATTTAAATGAAAATTTCAGTACATTTTCATTGATTATTTATTTTTATAATGAATACTTTTTGTTTTGTTTTTTTTAATCTGATGAAATGTTATTCTTTCTGTAACAAACACTAATATTTTCATGACTAAATTTCACTCGAATAAATGTTTAAATCGCAAATTTAATTTAATTCTAATTACTAACCGTGGACTTCTTTTTAGTTAGGTACCTCCACGAGATCGCTAAAAAAAGAGCATAGCATGATGAAAAAGACGCCAAACTTGACGAAAACAAAATTTTATCGTCTAAATGTTTGTTATTATTAAGAGGAAAGGTCAAAGTATTTTGGGGGTATTTTGTTCCATTTTTTAATCGTTCCTAGCACGTCCGAAATTTTCGTTAAAAATCTAGTTTTTTGAGTCAGCAAATTGACCATTTTTTTCCATTTTAAAAAAAACTGGAAATCTGACTTTGAAATTTTTTTAAATATCAATTATCATTTTTCAAAACTTATTTTAAGAAAATCAGAAATTATAATGTTTATTTAAAATATTTTGAACCAAACTTAACTTAGCTTTTGTGCCAAAAAAGATGTAATTTGAAAATAAAACAAAGCAGGTCATAAACTTTTCGCGTCTCTTGACATGTGATGAATGATATATTTACGAATTCCATGAGGCTAATTTGTTCTACGGAAGGAGAAAAGTGAAATAATTTACATTTACGTGAACAAATTATTTACCCTGTTATTTTTAACGAAAACTTTTCAGCGGTCTAATTTTTTTTTTTTTTGGTACTTAGCTTTCACCTTTATGTTTATGATGCTTTATGGGAACTATATTGTAAAGAAATTATAAATAAAACTGTTAAGAGGACATTAAATTTCATATTTCTTAAGAAAGGTATCTAATTAATTTATAGGTACCTTTTCTTATGAAATTTTATCAGAATTGTATATAAAATACTATAATTTTATGTACATTTATTACATTCTACTGTTATTTGTATTTGCATTTTTTATTATTAATTTTGATATTTCATTTATGGAAAATGTCGTAACTGAGATTAATATAAAAAATAAGATCATATAAATTTCATAAGATGATACTGATACTTGTAGGTACCCTTCTCAGTTGAAATTGAAAAATCAAATTAACTTCTCCACACGTGTTTCGCAAAAAATAAAGGCCTTAACAGCGGAGAACAATGCTTAACTCAAATAACGCAACTTAATTATATTCTGGTTGGTCTTCCGTATTTTATAATTACAGCTCGATTATAAGCACAAAATTACATTTAATTACTGGGGATCTTCTGATTAGTCAAATGATACAATTTACAACGCGCTAAAAAAAGATCTATCTCATAAGGACACTTATGAAAGCCGATGCGGCTTTTTAACTAATTTTTATAATATTTTAACAACTTAAATGTAAAATCTATTATAATTAATGAAATAACAAATAATTGTATTAAAATTCATTTTCATCGAAAAATTTTTTTTGCTTTCAGAAAATATTGTCCATATTCATAAAAAACAACTAAAAGCAAATAAAAGCATTTGAAATTAAATAATATCTTTGTTTTATTGAGTTTTGTATGTTACAATTCAGAGCTGATTTTTCAGGTACTGCGTATCCAATTAAAAACAAAAAAACATGATTTGCATTCCTCAAAGCCCCTGTATTTTAATTATTGTAATCACTAAAACCGATGCGATCGAATTTCTAGCGTTTTCATATAATTAGTTATGGGGGGGTAATAAATATTTTTAAAAAATATTTCTACCATGACTTTCATAAAAAAAAATATTTATAATAATTTTCGATCATCTGTGAATAGTTCCTGAAAGTTTCATTAACATCCGATAATTATTTCTATTTTGCACGATTTTCAAATTAATGTGTGTCATAACAAAAAAAACGTGCTAAAATTGTCTATTTATTTACTAGTTCCGCTGATACAAATAGAAAAAGGGTTTTTTAATCAAAATTTAGAATGTTCTAAAAAGAAGGAAAATTTTTTAAAAATAATTAAAAAAACTTTGGTCTTTCTCTTAATAATAACATAAGCATTTAGACAATAAAATTTTGTTTTTCAGCAAGGTTGGCGTCTTTTTTTCATCAAGCTATGCTCTTTTTTTAACGATTTCGTGGAGGTACCTATTTTTAGTATTAGTAAAAAAATAGAGATCCTCCTTAATGGATGATCTTATTATAAAAAATGATTTTATTAAGATATACAAATCAAACTGGATCTGCCCTTGCATGGAGTATTGCTGCCATATAACAAAATAGTAATCTGCTTCTGTTTGTCTCAGGGTTCTTGACAAGATCCAAAGCCAAATATGCAATTAATTGGCCCTGATCTGACATCTCGTCTGCAGTCGACTCTCACAGACGTACCGTCGCCTCCTCTGTCGTTTTTTTGAAATAAAATCACGGTAACTGTTTGATGAAATGCTTTCGCTGGTTCCCAGACTCCATGAATTTTAGCGTTCAACTAACTTCCATCTTGCTTTTTTGTTTCACTGTCGAAACTGTTAAATGTAACCGTCTCTTCTACTCCAATAGCTTCATGTCTCAGCCATTTCGAAAGTGGTACCCATCCCAGGTCTTGTTTCCCTAAACAGCTATAATCAAACTCATTCAAATGTAAATGTCAATCGACGTCTCCAGATGCCTTGATCTATCCCCCATCCTTCTTCATCCTTCCTCTATCACTCCTATTTGGATCTCACTCCAATTCTCTGTAACCCTTTGAACTGCTAGTGAACTTCCCGCCTTGTTTGGGTTGAAATGCTTATATATATATATATATATATATATATATATATATATATATATATATATATATATATAAGGATAATTGATATAAAGAACTGATATTAGCACTTATGTAACCCCCAGTAAATATGGGACCCCCACGAGGTTGAGAGGTTCGGGGTAGTAAGCACCGGCCCTGTCGTTTATTATCGTTGATGATTGACAATATAACTTAGGTTGAAAAAAAGTAAAAAGTACAAAAAGGAAAAAAACGCTGCTGAAACTAACCATTTAAGTTGGGGGTTCCTGCGTAGTAACGCACCTCACCGGCCATGCAGATACACGATGTATATTATTAGTTGATAACTGACAATATTATCAGTTAAAAAATAATTTAAAAAATTAGAAATATAGACAGATACTGAAGGACCGAAACGTTGTAATAAATATGGCGATAAAGATGAGGACAATAGTCCGAATAATGTAAATAGTGTACATAATACCTCATCTCAGAAAATATAGACAGATACTCAAAGTTTGTAATTAAAGATTACGGAGATTAATTTTGTCCCTGGCAACAAATTGATAGTTAAAATAAGGTTGGCCTCTTCGAGAAAATAGATCTTTTTTATCTTTTTTTTTTTTTTTTTTGATTGCCACTACACCTCTTCATTTATTATTATTATTATTATTATTATTATTATTATTATTATTATTATTTCCTTTTCATTCTTAGTTCATATACATGGTTTAGTTTTGTTAGGTGTTAGTTTTGTATCTGTTGCTTTTGAATGATAACAAATGGTTTATCTTTTTTAAAATTAGTTCCCAGTTTTAAAGAACTTTTTTCAGTACAGGCTCCGGTGTGTGTGTGTGACGTTGAAACAAAAAATTTTTTTTCTGGTTGGGGGAAATTTTGTTATTTTATACCAGAGCATGCATACATACATAAAGTTTCAGAAAAGAAATAGTGGACCTCTCAGAATTACCTATGAGTTTGTATTTTGCAGTCCAGAAGACCCCAAAATCCACTAAAATGGACTTAAAACCTCCAACATCAGATCAACCGAACTAAATTGGACTTTTATTTTTCTGGAATGTGTTAAAATACAATGTTCATGTTATGATAAAGCTATATTAAAGTGAAAAAATAGAATGTACATCTTTTTTGCATATTGGAGGGTACATTACAGATCAGATTTAAGCAAAGCTGTCGTCATTTCTGCTGTCCTCTTTGATTTTATACGCATAATTTATCTGATTTTATGATTTTTGTCACAATGTGTCTAACCTGATTTTCATTTTAATATTTGAACAAAGCTTTAAAAAAAACAATGCTGTATAAGATGATACTCATGTGATGGCTCATTTCTCTAGTCTTGAGACTAGGGATGATATAAGATTGAAGGAGTTTCATTATCATCGTTCTTGTTAACTTATCCAGGCTAATCACAGGAAAGAAGACCTTAAATGAACCCGGTGCCTGTACTATTATAGTGGATTATCAGTTATAGTGAAGTGTATGAGTGTTGAAACAGATTAGTTTGATTTGGCCTTGTTAGTTAGATAGCTCACCATAAGACGTGTATAAAACATGAAAATCAAATTGTAAAGTGAAACAACAAATTTATATACATATAAATCAATTAAGGTCTTTACAAATAAAATTAATGTATTTTGGTTGATACAAGGTCGTCAAAATGTTCGTAGTAGTCCTTGCAAGAATGAGTTTATGTGTACGTAAACAGGAACGTATGTGTGTATGTATGTATGTATGAGCGTTATCGTAGAGTAGGAATGTCTTTGAAGTAATCGCTCAGTCTTAAAATGTTCCGTTCGTTTGTCAATTATAAAAGAGGTGAAGGAGACAGGTAGAGGTAATAAT